GATATACAGGAAGAGCACACAGATATACAGGAAGAACGCACAGATATACAGGAAGAACGCACAGATATACAGGAAGAACGCACAGATATACAGGAAGAACACACAGATATACAGGAAGTACACACAGATATACAGGAAGTACGCACAGATATACAGGAAGTACGCACAGATATACAGGAAGAATGCACAGATATACAGGAAGAACGCACAGATATACAGGAAGAACGCACAGATATACAGGAAGAACGCACAGATATACAGGAAGTACACACAGATATACAGAAAGTACACACAGATATACAGGAAGTACACGCACGAAGACCACGAGAATCTGCCGCGAGCCATCTGTGCAGCTTGTTTTTATCCTCTTATCAGTTCTTGGAGCGCCAGCTGCACGTTGCAGCCTCACCCAGCTCCTCATCCAGATTTCTATGAACCCAAACATACGGTTCATGGACAGAGTTAACATTCTCAGCCATAATAGTTCAAAACTTCCATAAACTTTGACCAGAAATCCCAAACAGGTTCTCCCAAACCTTGTTTTTTAAACAGTTTCCTCTCGGTAAGCTTCGCAGCTCAGTCAAACTTTGAGAATCTAGATAAAGCAGGACGGACCAAAAAAACCAAAAGAAAAAAGAGCTTCTTGTTTGCGTTACTAGAACACTGAGTGAGAGGACATGTGCAAATTCACAACAACAACAGCTGCTTGTATCTCGAGTCCATCAGAATTCAGCAGAAGTTGTAGATAGTTTTTATACGACATCAAGTTAAACTGAGTTTAATTTGGACCAAAGTGACGAGCTAACATCTAGCTCAAGTGGAGCAGCAGCAGCTAGCTGTAGCACCTCCTCCAGTGCAGCCTGGAGTTGGAGTCTTTTCGGGACAGCAGAAATCCAACATGGTCTTGGCTGAGCAACTAGACATGAGCTCATTAATTCGGGCAGAATTAAACTTTATATCTTCAAATTAATATTGTTTAACAAGATAACTACAACAGTGTCACAGTTTACACTCTGTTTTTTCCTTTTCTCATCACTCTGTTCACTGTTTGACTTTTTCTTCTCTGCTCTCCTGGGTTTTTCCTCTGCTGCTTCTGCCAGCCTCGTTACATGCCACACCTCTCTCTCTGATTGTTGCTGATGGTTTCCACCTGTTTCTGGGTGTATATATACTTCCTGCTTTCTCCACTACCTTGCCAGATCAACTGCTTGCTTCCAGCCACAGTTATCCAGTGTACTCTCTTTGTTTACAGCTCTTTAATCTTGATCCACGCTTGTTTCCCTCGACCACGCTTTTTGACTGTCCCTTTTGTGCCTCAGCCTTCTGATCTTGTTTACGACCTACAAATTTCTGTTCAAATTTTTATCTGATCTGGGCTGACTGGATGGACTCACTGTGTCCTCTGGCCTTAGAGGAGAACGGTGGAGAGCAGGCGATGGTTGTGCTCATGACCAAGATGATGATGGTCAACTGCATCTGGCTCAGGATCAGTACCAGCTGCAGACACAAACACGCTGTTAGATCGTCAGCGCTGGAAATCTAACTCACGGCAGCCTCTGATGTCCCACCTGATACATGGCGTACTTTGGGATGATCCTCAGCGTCCGTAAGGCCGTCTTCAGGTGCATGAAGAGGATCGCCACGGGCCACAGAGCGATGATCGTCAAGATGCCCACAAACGGGTTGATCCATATCGCTGCCCCAGTGATCTCCAACTGAAGAGGTCGAGTTAAACAAACAGAAAATATGTTTTACTGAAGCACCGTTTATAAAAGTGTTCAAGAAAAGTTATGGGAGAAAAGTCAAGTAAAAAAAATCTTAAAAACAAGAAGGGAAAGATGACTTTTTTATCTATTGATGACAATCAGCTATTTGAAACCTTCCTCTTCTTTTTTAGATGTTTTACCAACAAAATGTTTTAAGGACGTTTGTCACTTTTAAATTCCTGATATTCTAACAGTTTTTAACAAATCATCATCTACAGGGGTCGTTCTCAAAATGTTTAAAACTGCTGCTGTTGAACCGTTATTGAAGAAACCCAACCAGGATTGTAACGATCTTAACAACTTCAGGTCGATCTCCAAATGACCCTTTATTGTGAAAATTTTAGAGAAAGTTGTAAGAGTTTTTAATTTGTTATCATTTTAAACTGCTTCATGATTTCTGTACTTCTATGCATACAAAGCAAAAGTTTCTGGAACTATCAGTCCACGTCCGAGCTGATAGTAATTCTCTGTATTTACATAAGCTGCTTTTACTTAGAACTATATGTTAAAAACCAAACATGTCAAAGTTTAAACATATCAACTAGTATTCCAGCTATCTTGCACTGTCAATGCTTTTCTCCTCACCCTTAAAGTGATACAGATGATTTCAACTGATACAGATGGTGTCAGAAACTCATTACAATAAGCATTTAATCAACTGAACCTGTGCAAGATGTTTGTTCTGATCAAAGAGTGTTCCAAGCCAAACACTGATGTGTCACTCTTACAAATAAAAGTCAGTTCTATCAGCAAGGCTTTGGAGTCCACCTCTGGTTTCAGACCAGAGGTGGATTTCCTTCCTTGCAAAGAGCGTTGGCCAAAAATCTTACTCTGTCCAGTGTCGTGTTCTTTTTTCTGTTGGGTACGAGAGAAAATACCTAACAAAAGTGTTGTGCTCTCAGATCTTAACTTATTTAAACCAAAACTCACTTTTTGAAAAGTTTCAGTCTGGCTTTTGTCAATATCACAGTACAGAAACTGCATTATTAAAGTTGTGAATGATATTAGGCTGAACTCAGATGCTGGCTGTTGTACTGTCTTAGTGCTCCTCCATGTTTCTGCTGCGTTTGATACAGTTGATCATAATATTCTACTGAGCCCACTAAATTATTGATTAGGTGTTAGAGACATTGTTCTGAGGGGGTTCAAATCTTATCTTCATGACAAGAACTTTTTCCCTAATTTCTGACAATAATTCCTCCAGTTCAGCTTATCTCACCTGTGGTGTTCCTCAAGGGTCTATTCTTGGGCCACTATTATTTTCTATTTATATGCTACCACTTGCTCAGGTTATTCATAAATTCAATGTCGCTTTTCATTTTTATGCAGACGATTCCCAGATTTATTTGGCTATGAACCCATCAGACCTCTACACACTCAATAAACTTACCCTCTGCCTTACAGACATCAAAACCTGGATGTCTGATCATTTTCTTTCACTCAACAACAATAAAACTGAGGTGATGGTGTTTGGACCCAAGAGATTTATTAGTTCAGTCCCTTTCTCTTCTTGGTTTTAACTGCACTCATGAAGCCAGAAATTTGGGGGTGACCTTTGATTCTGATCTTAGTTTTTCTAAACATTTTAAGAACATCAGTAAAACAGCATTTTTTCTAATTAGGAATATTGTCAAAATCAGAGCATTTATCTATTTAACCGATGCAGAAACACTTATTCATGCCTTTGTCTCCTGTCATCTTGATTATTGTAACTCTTTATTTTCTGGTCTGCCCCAAAGTTTTCTTAAAAGTCTTCAACTAGTAAAAACACGCAGCTAGAGTTCTCATAAGGTCCCATAAATATCAGCACATCTCTCCTGTTCTGTCCTCGTTGCACTGGCTCCCTGTAGTTTTTAGAATTGACTTTGAAATTTTATTCTTTGTTTTTAAATCCCTGACTGGTCTTGCACCATCATATCTATCTTTGCTTCTTACCCGTTACATCCCTTCTTACAATCTCAGATCCTTAAATCTGTTACTTTCCACTCCCAGAGCTCGACTGGTAACAGGAGGAGGTTTAATGGTCAGGGATCCTAATTAGTGGAATGTTCTTCCTCTAAATATTACACAGGCCTCTTCATTGTCTTCCTTTAAATCATTAGTTAAAACTTAATTGTATAATAAGGCTTTAATATCTGAATGTCTTCAAATGTTTATTTTCATGTTCTCTTATATTATGTATTTTTATTAAATTGGTATACTTTGTGTTTCTGGTGTCATTTATAATGTTTTATTTGATTAATGTGAAGCACTTTGTAACATTTGTTTAAAAGTGCTATACAAATAAAGTATTATTATTATTTTATTATTATTATTTTTAATAATATTCTCAAAGTTTTGTTTTTGCACAATAAAAGCTAGACATAAATCATAAATCTGTCTTCAAAACTACATTCCCAGTTTTAGACCTCTTCTCTGCTCACCTAAACTTTTCCTGCCAAAAAGTTATGAATATAATCCAAAATATGGTCCTAAATCAAGATAATTTAGTTTTCTTTAAACAATATGTGTTTCCTCTAAATAAAAGACTATTTCTAAACATTTCATCCCAAAATGTTTTATCATT